CGCCATTGTCCTTGAAGTAGCCATGCTTTCCGCATTGCTGCGTTCTGTGTTGTATATCTCCTGACTCAAAGCGTGGCGACGCCCGCCCGAGGCTGGTACCGGTGCTCCTGAGCAGTGCATCCCTCGAGCGGGGTGGATGGGTCGTCGGGGGCCTTGCCCTCGCGGACGCTACCCTCCACAGGCGGCAACGCTTGGCGACGTATGCCTGAGGCTTCGCATGCCTCAAGCGTTGTGTCAAGTGCGTCGGGGCTCGTTTCCTTGCAGACGGTACCTTCCACATGCGGCAGAACTTGGCGACGTATGCCCGAGGCTTCCCATGCCTCAGGCGTTGTGGCAATTGCGCCTGGGGTCGTTCCCTCGCCGACGTTGTTGGGTTGGTCCGCGTCGTGTAAGTCATCGCATTCGTTCCAAGGTTCAATCCATACTGTTGCTCCACTGCCATCGTCGAACCATGGTTGTGCCACGTCAAAGCTTATGCTGTTGTCGGAGATGGTTCTCGATATGACTTCATCCATTGTCGTGGCCAGCTGTTCGGTCGTTCCAGCTGGAATGCATGTTGTACTCGGCGTTGTCCGTGTCATGCTGTCTGCTCGGATGTCCATGTGCTCCACAATCTTCATCAGGTTGCAACTCGCACGCGTGCCCTCCTCCTCCTCCTCCTCCACATCTTCCTCCTGCTCTCCAGCACCACCACAATCAACATCACCATCATTGTCATCGGCATCGGCATCGTCATGGTCATCGCCAGCATCATCACCATTACCGGTTCAGCATCAGCATCAGCATCAACACCATCACCAGCACCATCCTCATCATCATCAACATCATGATCAGCATCACGGGCTCCACCATCATCATGATGATGGTCATCATCATCAGCATCATCGTCGTCGTCATCATCATCATGTGTCCTCGTCGTCGCCATCGCCGTCGTCAGCATCAACAACAATATCATCATCAACATCATCATCATCGTCACCATGACCATCACCATCACCATCATCATCACCATCATCGTCATCATCATCATCATCATCGTCGTCGTCGTCGTCGTCGTCGTCGTCGTCGTCGTCACCACCACCAACACCATCATCATCGCCACCACCATCATCATCATGGCTCATGCCGTGCGGCCCCAGAGTTCCGCGACATCGGAACCAACTGGACCGTATTTTGGAGCTCTGGCGCCGCAGGCCCCTGCGGAGGGCTCGGCTGCATTTCCGCCGCCTGCGACTGGTGGGTCCCCCAGCGCTCTTGCGCCCAGTGGGCCGCGGGACAGGCCTGCTGAGTATCGTTTATCCGATCCCCATCCCCAGCGGCGTGGCCTGGGCCCCACTGGCCGATTTACCCCTCTAGATGGGGATATAGGCCGTCCCCTTCGGGCTTCGAGGGGTGCATCCCCAACTGGGGTGACAATTTGGGGGGGTCTCGAAGGGGATGAGGATGGGGATGGGGGTCGGATAAACGATACTGACCTGCGGGCCCGCTGCGGAATACGGCACCCAAGCCCAAGAGATCCCAGGGGGGGCAGTCCGCGGCGAGTTCGGCGACTCCGCCTGCTGCGCCTCTGCCCGAGTCTGGCCCCGTGCTGCCGGAGGCGTGCCGTGGACATAGGCGCTACATTCAAGGCGCGACTCATACTGTGTCTCGCGTGCCGAGCAATTTCTCAGACAGACGTCGAGGCCCTCCTTCTTGCGGGGCAGTGCCCGCTGGACCATGCTCGTCTCGAGTGAGAGGTTGCGTGATCGTGCATGTGCGAGGTGGGACCAGCAGAGTCTCCAGCTGGCCGTAACTCGGGAGCCGGTCGGCGGGGCCCGCCGTGACCTCGAGATGCGGCCCCAGCGCCCTGCTGCTGCTGCTGATGCTGCTGCTGCTGGGCGCCTCGGTTTTGGATGACCGCACGTCGCCTCTCAGGTTCTGATGCGGCGAAGACGTCTCGGGCGAAACGCCCTGCCTGCCCTACCGGCACGTCTGGGAATGCGACAGGGAAGCTTCCTCTATGAGGAACAGGGATGGGGGAGGAGGAGGAGGCAAGCTGGCTGACGCTACGGGCCGTGGCGCCCAGCAGCCTGCTCAAGGAAGGAGGCAATCTGGAGGCAGCCTCCAGGCGCCGAACAGTGGCGGCCTAAAGCACATCGGACGCGGTGCCTCCCGCCGCCGGGGCTCTGGGGGTGTGCCGTGGATCCTCTCCGTCTTCGTGTGCATCCCGGCCTCCCAAATAATTCGGGTCCGAACAGATGGGGTCGGAGGGTCGCGCCGCATTGCCGACGCGCCGGCCATGCCGAAGTCACCGATGCGTCGCCGATGCGTCGCCGATGCATCGCCGATGCATCGCCGGTGCATCGGCGACGCAGCGGCGATGCGGCGCGGTCCTCTGACCGCTTTGCTCGGATGTCGCTTGTTGAAGGCTTGGGAACGGGCAACAACACCAAAGCAGGGGGTTGCGTCCACAGGGGGATGATGATTAATCTTTTGGCCAGCCAGGGAGCCCGAACGGTACCACCATCACCGAGGTCGGAGTCAACTTCCCTCGGTGGCTGTACACCTCCGATATTTCAGCCACGCGCAGAGGGGGGTGGGGGGAGTGGGGAGGGCTTCTTAGAAGCACCCCCACTTCTTAGAAGGCGCGGGCCTTATCTACAGATGTAAGGCCGGCGCCTTCTAAGAAGCAGCCTCCTTCGAGGAGCCCGCTCAGCTCCGTCAGCCACAACAACAAATGAGAGCGATTGCGCATAACAAATAAGAGCGACTGCGCAGCATGAACAAAAACATCCTCCTCAACATCACCATCACCATCACCACTACCACCGTCATCATCAACGTCATCATCAGCATCATAATCAGCATCAGCATCAGCACCAGCATCAGCATCAACATCAACATCAACATCAGCATCAACATAACCATCCGCATGACTGACGACCATCAACACCATCACTACTACCATCCCCATTGCAACCATCATTATCATCATCACCATCATCACCATCATCACCATCATCCTCATCCTCATCATCATCAGCATCATCATAAAAATCCGCCGACCCCTTGTGGGTCTCCAGGCGTGTGAGATTGTTACCCCCCATAAGCCCCCCACAGGGACCCCAAACCAGGATTTTGACCCCCCCCGGGCGAGGCTCCCTGGGCTCGCTCTTGAGCTGCACGACAGCACTTGACGCCTCCCAAGAAGCCGCCAAGACGGTCCACAAGAACACAATGTCGCCGAAAGATCGTTCCAAGACGCCCAAGATGAGCTCAAAACGGCCCAAGAGGCCGCCAAGACACCCCACGAAGCCTCCAAGAGGCCTCCCAAGAAGCCCCCAAGAAACCAAAATCTTGAAATTCCCGGGGGGAAACGTATGTACGTTGTCAGCATATCCAACTTGTTAGCCTTCACGGCGTTGAAGACAGTTCACGAGGCCTCCACGAGGCCCCCGGAACCACCCCGAGACGGCCCACGAGGCTTCCAGCTCCCAGGAGGCCCCAAAGACAACCGAAACAACTCCAACGTGGCCCAAATGGCGCCCTAGACGGCCCAAGAGAGCTCCAAAACGACCCAAAGAAGGGCTTAAGAGAGGGACCACGAACCGCGATTTCCAGCGCTCCGCCCAACGAAGCTCTCCGGAAGACCCAAGAGGACCCAAGAGGCCCCCAAGCGGCCCCAAGAGGCCCCCATGAGGCACCCAAAAAGCCTCAAGGAGCACCCAAGAGGCCCAAAAGAAGCCTCAAAACAGCCCCCAAGACCCTTCGAAACTGCATCGAAGAGGCCCGCCAGAATCCTCGCCACGCGATCCCATGATTCGAACATGCCTCGTGGAATGCAGTCCTGGAGGCGCAATAGTTTATAGAGAGGTCGGCGGATTCGGCGTAAGCCTACAGAATCACCTTCATCACCATCACAATCACACTCACCATCATCGCCATGACCATGACCATGACCATTGCCATCAGCATCACCATCGCCACAATCATCATCACCACCATCATCACCATCATAAGCCACATACTTAGCAGCATCATAAGCATCCTGATCATCACCAGCATCAGCATAAGCATCATCATCATCATCATCATCGTCGTCATCGTCATCGTCATCGTCATTGTGATCATCATCGTAATCAGCATCCTGCTCGGCATCATTATCATCATCATCATCATCACCATCATCAACAGCGTCATCATCTTTACCATGATAAGCATAACCAGAAGCATAACCATAAGAATAGGCATCGTCATAACTTTTGACACCATCGCGATGGCGCCATCGTCATTCTCTCCGTCACCATCGGCATCACCATCACCATCATCATCATCATCATCATCATCATCATCAATATCATCAGCATCATGATCACCATCATCACCATTGCCACCATAATAATGATGATGATGATGATCACCATCACCATCACGATCACAATCACCATCATCACCAGCATCAGTATCATCACTATGATGGTGACAATCCTCATTATCACCATCACCATGACCATCACCCTCACCATCATCATCACCATCAGCATCACCAACACCATCACCATCATCATAATGATCATCATCACCATCATCAGCATCATCATCATCATCATCATCATCATCATCATTCATATCATCATCATCAACATCAACATCACCACCATCATCATCACCACCCTCATCATCATCATCATCGTCATCAGCATCATCATCATCAGCATCATCATGATCATCATCAGCATCAGCATCATCATCAGCATCAGCATCATCATCGTCGTCGTCATCATCATCATCATCATCATCATCATCATCACCACCACCACCACCACCACCATCATCATCATCATCGTCATCATCATCATCATCATCATCATCATCATCATCGCAATCACCATCACTATCATCCGCATCCCTCTCTTCCGTCCTCCTCCCCGTCCCCCCTCTCCTCCTTCTCCTCCTCGTCCTCGTCCTCCTCCTCCTTTTCCTCCTCCTCCTCTTCGCCAAGCCCGCCCCCACTTCCGCTCCTGGAGTTCCCGCACACGCTGCCCGCGAACGCCTGGGCGCGCGGCGCGGTAGGGCGCGCGCACGCACGAGTCGTGCAAGCAATGGCGGCGCCCCCCAAACAAAAACGTTGAAGGGTGAACAAATCACGATCTGGTTTTGCGTGTTTCGACCTCGGCCGCAAAATGACTCGGGCTGGAAAGCCCGTTCGAAGGAAGGCGTCGAGAACTCGTGGGGTCACTGTTGCGAAAGAAGCCACGACGCCGGGGGTTTGTGATCGAGGGAGGAGGAACGGGGGGGAGAAGGGAGATCATCTGGCACTTATGGACCAGTTTGACCATGCTTGGGCCTCGTGCCTCTGGGAGACTCAAAATCAACAAACGGCTGACGCCTCCAACGATCTGCTGGGGGGCTTCTGGACACTCCTTCGGTACCTTCGGCGTGTTGATATGCGCTTCGTCACCAAATCCTCGAAGTTCAGACCCGACCACATTCCCATGAGGGCGGGCATCCATCCCGCATCGTCAATTTCTGGTGTTCCCCAAAGCTCCTTCGGCTCTCCCAAATTGATCTAGAAGAAAAATCGCTGATATTGCAATCGCCAATCCGCGGGACAACTGGGGGGGAGGCAGGACAAGGGAGAGACGCAACATGCGACGGGTACAAGACAGAACATGGCGGGAGGGTCGGAAAGGCAGGGAAATAAGCAAATATAAATGAAAAGATGAAGGAGATCCCTTCCCCTTCCCGGCTCTTTCCCCCTCACAAGATTGTTTTGGATCTGCGCTGAAGCCACCTCCTCGGAGCGTGGAACTCGTCCAGGGCGGAGCGGGGGGCGCCGCCAGGGGGGTCTAGCACCGATCCAAGAAATCCGCGCGGACCGTCGAAAATTCACGCTTATTAAAAAATGCAGAGGGGGGCCCCAAGAATCGCATAATTCGGTTGGCGCATTTCGACACGGACCTCCCAATTCGGGGGATGAGGAGGAAGGGGAGGAGGAGAAGGAGGATACTGGAGAATGGAACAGCCAGGCGCAAAAGGGTGCAAGCTCGGTGGACCAAAACATCGCACCTATCAGAGAGCGCTCGCACCAACAACGGGCACTGCGGCGGCCACAAAATCGCCCACGGCCATGCCGTGGGTATCCACTCTTACATATGGAGCGAGTCCGCCGCAATCCGCGCGCGCGGGTGAACTGACCTCGGTCCATCTTAGCGAGGTTATCACGCCTTTTGCGCGTAAGACCCGAGCACTCGAGGTGGCGGGGGCCCTCCGTCGCTGTCTTGCCGCGTACAAAAGTACAACGGCAAGGAAGGCCGCATGCCCGTCGCACCACACGCTTGTCAGACGTGAGCCCGCAGCGCGGGGCTTTCGCGCGTGTGCGCTAGACTGGAGGGCGATTTGCACCCTAGTTCGGCGGGGGCCCCGCGCCTGAGATGGCCTCTTTGCCACCCGCGGATTGGCAGCGAGCGTGTCGGGGAGCGCCCATCGCGCCCGTCGGCGGACGAGGGAGGGCGCGCTGAGTGTCGTGTAGGTCCGTGGGGGGCGCCTCTCCGTGTGGGCGCCCGCGCCGGCCCACGCGTTGGCACGCGCGTTGCCTAGCGTGCGGGAGTATATGATGGGGTCGGTATCGATGCCAGGGGTGTCCTCGCTGTGTGGGACCATGCAAATCACCTCGAGCCTGCTGCCGCCATCAGTGCGCATCGCCTTTGCGGCGCGCTGCCACTGCTGGCATTGGTTCGCGCCGTCGCGTGGGCGCAGGTGTCGGCTGGACCTCCGCCCGTCGCGCAGCGGCAAGTGATCTGCGATGAAACGCAAGTCGCCTGGCCAACTCTCCACGGCCAATGCGATCGCGAGCAGCTCAGCGCAAGGGGCGGTTTGGAATGGCCCCTCTAGCCCCGAGGTGATGCCTCCCCACGGGGCCCACTCCCCAGAGAAACTCTTCATTGCGACACAGGCTGCCCTCACCCTGCGGCGACGAAGGTCGGCGCTGAACTGCTCGCCCGAGTCGTCGCCGACAATTGCGAGGGCCACGCCGAGCCCCGCCCGACCCAGCTCCGCCCGCCGCCCCCTCCTGAACGAGAACAGGCAAGGCGCGTGTCCGCACGCGCCGGTAGGCCGCGGAACCAGTGCGCAAGCGATGCTTCTGCCCCAGCCAGGGCGACTGGCAAGAGGGCGTCAGAATTCGTGTAATCCTCGTGGTCACCATTGCAAAGACACAACCCAATCCTGCGCATCAAGGTCTCGTCCGCTTTCCCATAGCCGGGGCAAAGCGCCTGTGCCCGTCAGCCGGCCTCGGCCAGAGGCGCCCGCGTCAACTGGGCCCCTGACGCGGCGCAGAGGTTGAGGGCCCACTGGTCGCAATGACCCTGCTTCGTGAACACCTCCATCTCGTGGCTGATGACGCGCGCGCCTGGGCCACCTCCCTGGGGCCCTCCTCCATGTAGGTGCTCGGCTACCGCCTCCCATGGCCCCGTCTCGATAGACTGGCAGAACTCGCGAACGAACCCCGACGGGTCGACCCCGTGGCGCTTGACCTCCCACCCGGCGTGGGCCCTGTGAGCTAGTAGCCACGTGTGGTCTGCAGGTTCGCCTTCGGGAGGCGCGGGCGCGGCCACTCGTGATGGAGCGTGCAGCTGCAGCCAGCATCCATGAGAATGGCCTGGATCGCAGAGGTGGGGCCCAGGACCTTGTGCCACTTCCTGTTCCCGAGGCCGATCATCTTCTGGTGGATGAGCTTCCAACGCGTATGTGGTGGTACGGGCTCTTGAACCAAAGGCTGGGCCACTCTGTGATGGACTGGCGCCTGAGCTCGATGGCGGGGCCCTTCTGGTCAAGGACCATGGCGACGGCAACCGCGAGACACCTGACTGGCACCTTGCCCGCGATGGCTTGCAGGGCTTGGCGCCTCTTGACACACGATGGCGGATGGGGCGAGTCCCATGTTCTGGTGGCCGTAGGTGCCCTGCGGTCTGGGCCCCGTGGACTACGAGGCCCTTCGCGATCTTGGTGGGCGACGCGTGCCTCCAGATCTTGGGGAAGATGCGGCCTGTGCGCCTCTTCGCCTTTTTTTCGCCCGAAAGGACGCCTTGGCCGTGACACGGCGCCTGCCACCTGCTGTGTCGATCCCGGGGTCGAGGGATGATCCCGCCACCTTGATGGGGCAGCCCCTAGGCCCTAGGCCTTGAAGCCCACGTGGGCCGCGAGCGCGATGGAGGGGCTGAATGCGACGACCGTGGTCTGAGGAGGGACCCTAAGCTCCGCGGCGGTCATCACCTGCAAAGGACGATATCGACACCGATGAGGTCCCTGATGACCTGATTGGGTTCGCCCTCTGTCCTGGCCACCGTGTCGTCGACGAAGGTCCACAACTTCGCGTAGGCGTAGTTGTGGTGCGCTCACTGCCGGATTGGGCCAAAGAAAACCTTCGCTAATTTGTCAGCGTGACTGCTGCCCGCGAGTATGGACTTCTGGAGGTCGATGAAATCGTTCACCCAGCCGTGCATGCGGAGGTACCTCGGGGAGATGAAAAACTACACCTCGAAGGCCACCACAATCGGCCGGAACTTCTCAGCAATGACCGCCTCGAAGAGAAGCGCGAAGCTGATCGAGTCGTATAACTTCTCTACGTCCATGAGGAGCGTCGCAGAGGCTACGCCGAATGCCCCTGCCGTTTCGTTCAGTAGTGCCGTCCAGTAGTGCCCTGATCAGCGCAGCCCTGGGCGCGCTGGACCCCTCGATGGCAGTGTACCAGAAGTCTCCGAGTGCGTTGGGCCACTGGTCTGCGATGGAGGAGCGGATCTTGCTCCACACCTTTTTGATGGTGGGGAGTATGCCAAGGAAGCGCTCTCCCCCTGCTGGCTTAGGGGCCATGGCCCCTATCGTGGCGCAGAGCTGCTGCGGCCACAGTCCGTGGCGAGCTGCTGGATGCGAGGAGGAGGAGGAGGAGTGAGGAGGAGGAGGTGGAGGAGAAGAAAGGTGAGGAGGAGGAGGAGGAGGAGGAGGAGGACAAATGTGTTGTCCAATGCTTGGGCCAGGACGTCCCGACGCGTTCCCGGGACCATTTTTTATACCCGAGGCAGTCTGGCCCGAACTGGCTCCCGGAGGCCAGAAGCTGTGGACCTCCGTCGTCGTCGTCGTCGTCGTCGTCGTCGTTGTCGTCGTCGCGTTCGTCGTCGTCGTCCTCGTCGTCCCCGTCGTCTGTTTCAAGTGTCAGAAACCTGTCCTCCTCCTCCTTTTGACTATCAGCCCTCCTGTTTCTCAGTCTTCCGCCTTCTCCTCCTCCTCCTCCTCCTCCTCCTCCTCCTCCTCCATCACCTCCGCTGGGACATTTGACATCCTCAGGGTCAGGCCTGGAAGCGTGGCCGCGCCTTCGCGGCGTCGAAGCACTCGCTGCAGAAGCTGGCGCCCTTGCCGGTGCCCGCCAGGCAACAATAGGGGCCCTGTCGGCTCGCTGAAGGGTCAACCCCTTCTTCTCCCGTCCGCCTCCCTTCTCCTGCTCCTTTTCCTCCTGCTACTCCAGCTGGTCATCCGTGCTTTCCTTCCTGCCTCCTCCACCTACACGATCTCGCCCGTCTCCTTCTGCTCCTGTCCTCCCGCACTCTCTCCCCCTCCCTACGCATTTGCTCCTCCCTCCCCCTCCTCCATCATCATCTCTCCTGCTGTTCCCCTCTCCCCAGCCGCAATTACCCTCCCCCGCTCCTCATTATTCCTCCGACCTATCCCCCCATCCACATCACCCTTGCTGCCTGGCACTCGGAATTAAAAACGTTACAGGCTTGCGAGCCAAACAACCCGACGACAAAGTAAGACAACAACCACCCCAATGACCATCCAACAGACAAGCTAACCAACCAACGAACAATCATATAGCCAACCCGCAATCCAACCAGCCCAAATCTGACGAGTCTGCGGGCCTACCAGATCGACAAGAGACGTATGGACCAACAAACCAAACATGTCAACACGATCGCCCACCACAATCCCACCAACCCTCTGGTCGTGGGTCGATTGCCGAGGCAACTCTGCCCCCAAAAAAGAACCCTCCGTCGCGGACACGGGTGTCCTTCCCCCCCCTCCCCCCCCGCCCAAGAACCTGGCCACCTCCCTCTGCAATTCCCCGCAAAAAGGCCCTTCGGATACCACGCCCTGCAACATCTGGCAACACGACCCGCAACTCACCGCACCCTCCCCCTGCAGGCAGGACCCTCGCCATACTCCACTCACCTTCGTCTTCGTCCTGACAGTCGTCGTCCTCATCATCCTCATTTTGGTTGTCGTCTGCCTTCTCCTCCGAGCCCCCCCTCCCTCGTCCTCGTCATCCTCGCCCTTCTCCTCGTCCTGCGACTTCCCCTTCCTCGTCGCCCACTTCACCCTGCTATTCGTCGTCCTCGTCCACGAGATGGCCACAAGACCCTCACCGAGAATCTCCCAGGAGTCTCCAAGCTCGCACTGTTTGGAGCCTGCTCGGGCTCGGCCCAGACTCGGTTCCAAAGGCGTCCCTCTCCTCTCTTCCACTGCTTCCCCAGAGAATCGCCAAGGGATGGTCGATTGATGACACGCACCAACATCGGCACGCCTCCGCAACTGCTTCAAACCTTGGCAACCCCAGCCCACCGGCCAGCCACGGCGTGGACCGCAGAGAGCGGATCCAAGATCGGGCCAACAACTCGCCATCGCTCGGACCTCCATTCTCCGTGCATGTTTCGGTTCCGTGTTTGTTCAAAGGAAGGATGGGCCCAGAATGCTCCTCGATGACACCTGCGGGGAAAAAACGCACACGCCCGAGCGATACCAAGTCAACGCCGCCGTTTCGAAGCCTCCCGTCGACGCCCAGATGCTTGAAGGGGCACAAGACCTCGGAGGCCCGGTGCAAACATTCTCGGGTCGGGCAAAAGGGGGGGACAGCAAAGGGGGGGTTTGAGAATCAGCTCACGTATCTGATTTTCCTGGCGCCTCCCGGCGCCGGAGGCGGCCATGTATCGAGGAACGGGCCCCTCGGTGAGGCCGAAACCAGCTGCATGCAGCAGATTTCGTAACCCCCCCTTTCCCAATCCCCCCCTTTCGCCCGGCCCGACATTCGGGGAACTGCCGTCAACCTCCGATGCGATCTGCCAACCTTACGGACACGACTCCCAGACCCTGGGGTCTTTCTCCCTCAAGACGAGATCTATACTCTGAATCGTTCTCTGACTGTCCTGGGGCCCGCGGAAGGCCCCAAGAGCCCGACACGGCGGAAAGTCCCAGGACCCGCTCTCCCCATAACGAAGGGAGGAGGAGGAGGAGGAGGAGGAGGAGGAGGAAGAGGAGGGAGGAGGAGGAGGAGGACAGGAGGAGGAGGAGGAGGAGGAGGAGGACGAGGAGAAGGAGGACGAGGAGGAGGACAGGAAGAAGGAGGAGGAGGAGGAGGAGGAGGAGTAAGAGAAGAAGGAGGACGAGGAGGAGGAGGAGGACAGGAAGGAGGAGGAGGATGAGGAGGAGGATGAGGAGGAGGACGAGGAGGAAGAGGAGGACGAGGAGGCAAAAACTAGCCTGGCGATTATTCAGCAGCCCAGCGATCCGCGCGCAAGGCCGCAGCGGGCCTCTGGGTCGTCGTCGTCGTCTTCGCTGGCGGCGGGCTCCTGCCGCTGGCGGGAAGAGAGGGGGACAGGGACGGAGGGGAGGGGCAGAGGGAGGGGAGGGAGGGAGGGAAGGGGGGAGGCAAGGGGAGAGGGAGTGGGAGAGGGAGGGAGGGAGGGAGGGGAGGGATGGGGAGAGGGGAGAGGGAGGGGGAGGGGAGGCTGGGAGGGAGGGGGGGAGGAGTCGGCGGACTCAATGTCAATCAGACCGCAACGGCTGGAGGGTGACGGTGGTCAGAGGATCGCCGGAGCAGACTGGGTTTGACCGATAAGGGCACAGCGTTCCTGACGACGGGATCATCCTTGCCGCTCCAGATGGCAGGTTGGCTGGCGGCCTCGCAAGTCCTGCCCCGCGGAGGAAGTGGAGGGAGGAGGAGGAGGAGGAGGAGGAGGAGGAGGAGGAGGAGGAGGAGGAGGAGGAGGAGGAGGAAGAGGAGGAGGAGGAACCTGGGGACGCAGTGTCCCTCGACTGACGCGCGCGCCGCGACGGGGCCGCCCGCCAACCCACCGCGGGCGGCGGTGCCCTCTCGGCACACGACGGTGAATGCCGCGCTGAGGCACCGCACAAAGGCGGGACAACAGCCCTGCACCTATGCGAACCGGGAGAAGACGACCAGCACCTCCGGCACGAACATCAGGAAGAGCTCGTCGAGCACAGTCGGCTCCTCGCCAAAACGAGCTGCTCCCGCAAGCAGCCCGTGTGGACTGCGCTCTTGCAGCTCTGGCAGACGACCATCGCAGTCCCATGAGCTATACCGCCCGAGCACAGCTCGCATGCGAAGGCGTCAAGGCCGTCGATCGGCCTCGGCGCCCTGCGCGGAAGAAGACGGGGCAACATGCACACGGGGCAGAGGCCGCCCAGCGTCGCCGCGAGGATATCGACCGTGGACCTCCCCGTCTGGATAACGGGGGTCGCCATCCGCTGCTGCCGCGCAGAGAGGTTCTCGAGGCCCTCTGTGTCAACTGGAAACAAGTCCTGCTCCTCCTGCGTCTCGATGCCGATATCGACGGTCGTGCGCTCGCCCACGGATGTCTGCAGAACCCGCCCTGGGTCGACCGTGGGCGCCACGCTCGGGATAGAGAGGATCGGCAGCTTCAGGGTGGACGCATCAAAGGCGTCGCGCTGCCCTTGCTCCTCCTGGGCCGTCGGGGTGGCCTTGCACTCGACGTCAACGCCCGCGCTCGCCCCGACAACGGGGCCAGCGCGTTCCGAGCCCAGCGCGGCAACAATGCCGCCAGCCGTGGGGCAGACAGCCCCCGCAGGGACCACGAGTCCAGGCTGCGCCAACGCACCCAACATCGCCTCGATGTCTGCTCCGTGTCGCTCTTGGTGCTGGACCGGGCCCTGCACGAAAGGCGGCGCCGCCAACCACCATATGTTTTCTCCTTTATCAGAAAATGCGCACACCTCCAAGCGGGCCGTGAGCCGTTCAAGCAACCACCGAGGGCTCCGCGACGCAGACCTCATCGGTGACATCCCAGCCGCCCAACGTTTCCCCGTCGCCGCCTACTGCGCCCTCGCAATCCACAGCGCCCACCAGCCGAAGCCCCTTCGCCGCCTGCCGCAGGGAAGCCGCAGAGGCTCGGCTGAGATTGCCTGGGGCGCGGGCGGCGTGCAGGGCGACGTTGCGCCGCAGCCGCTGCAGCGCCGTCGGGTACTGACCTGCCAGCAGGGCGGCGAGCGCGGGCGCGCAAGCAGCCAGGCGGTCAGCGAAGCCTTCGCACTCGGCGACCGCGTCGAGCGCCACCAAGGTCGCGTCGAGGCCGTCGCGCATTTCCTTCACCTCGGCGGTGAGGCGCGCCACGAGCCTGTCCGACGACGACTTGGCCCAGACCCTGCGCTGCGCCCCGCGAAGTCGCCTCCAGCTGGCGCCCTCCAGGGGCGCCTCCCGCAACCATCATCCCATGAGCCGAAAGCCCTGCCCCCCCATGCCCTCACGTCAGCCCGGCATTGAGGTACGCCGAGGGACAAAATCCAGGAGCAAAGGACCTACGGAAAAGGCATGAGCCAAAACGGCTACGGAGGAGGAGGAGGAAGAGGAGGAGGAGAAGGAACGAATGAAGGAGGAGGGCTGGGAGGAGCAACAGCGGCGAAAACATCGTGGAACAGGGGGGCAGAACGTCGGGGTGGCGCCACCACCCGCCACCTAGAAGGGCGGCCTACCACCTGCGCCGCACGAAGGCCCGCTCGCCAAGGTCTGAGACAGAGCGGCGTCGGGCGCCTCCGCGTGTGCGGCAGCGACGCGCGGGTGGCTCTGGAGGGCCACTTGTGGCGGATGCAGGCCCTTCATTTTTCAATGTTGTTGTCACATGGGTTGAACGCCATCACCACCATGCTGACTTGCAAAACTCGCGAACCGGAACCCCGCCTGCAAAACATCTCAGATCGCATGGTTTCCGAGAGAGACCGCAAAGGGAAAATGCTCGCGCATGTATTCTCCTTGGCAGTCCTGACCGTTTTTTGTCCGTATTGAGCGCGCGCCTCAACACACGGGCCCTCCAGTGCAGCCGGTCAGGATGCGCGCGATCGACATCCGAACGACCTTGATATTGGCCAGCTTGGCCGCGGCGAAAAGAACAGGGACAGGCCTTCTTAGAAATTTGGCGGGTATCTAAGAGACATTGCGTTTTTCTGTGAAGATCTTGCGTCCTCGGAGAAGGTTTGATTAGGATGCTTCTGAAAAAAAAAGTCCAAAAACCTCCTGAGCCTTACACGGGGGCCCGCCTCCTCTGGCGTCCCCCTTGGCGCGACGCCGATCATCATCCCATCGAAGTCCTCCAGGAGTGCCACGGGTGTCTTCGAACGCAGCTCGCAGGCCTTGGCTCGCGCCATCTCCGCTGCGTGGTGGTGGTGGTGGTGGTGGGGTGGGGGGGGGGGCTGCTGCCCCCAGTGGCGGGGCTTGCTCCGCGCTAGGATCTCATGGGGCACGAGTGCCTTGAGCCAGCACAACTAGTGGAAAGGGGGAGGGAGAAAGAAGAGGAGGAGGAGGAGGTATGGGGGTACAGTGAATGTCCTGACGTGCGCTTAAAGAGCCTGGAGCTCCCTGCGGCGGCCCTCGTGGATGATGGATGACTGAATGCCGACCCCTTGAATTTACATGCTTGAGGCCTGCGCCGGGTGACCCTGCGGCACCACGTTGGGTCCAGAAACTACGATAGGGGGTCACGGCGTGCTTGGCACATGCGCTGTTTGCCCTCCCCCCACCTCCACCCACCCCCCCTCCCCCTTCCCAGCCCAGTGCGTCGCCGATGCCTGTCTTAGGCGCTGTTGCTATTTGCGCGGTCCCTTTTGACCTTTGCGCTGTCGCTTGGCGGTGGCCTTCGTGGCTCCATAGCGCCACCTGCCCGGTGCAGCTGGATCGGCACCGAACACGCCCAGCGCGAAGCCGCCGTCGAGCAGATGAGCCCGCCCTCCGCGCCTCCGCCGGGCACGCCCTCGCCATCCCCCCGATGTGTTCACGCTGGCCGTCTCGCGGTCTTTTCCTGAGCTGCTCTGCAGGCCTGCAGGAGCCTCTTGCGCGCGTGCGGGTCGCATCCGGGATGGATCCCAGGCTCCGCGTGGGCCAGTAAAGGGGGGTGCTGCTGCCGCTCGCAACTCCAAGGGGAGGGGGGGGAAAGCGGGAGAAGAGTGAGGAAGGAGCACGGGGTGGACTTAGCCGCCTGGCTGGCGCATCCTCTGTGCCCTTGCGGGCCCGCTGTCGTTTCGATTTCTTTAAGCCTCTCTGTTTGCCGCTGCGCCGGCCAGGCGTAGTTTGACCGTCGCATCGCTCAGTCGGCCGATCTTTCCTTGCACTGCCCAAGTGAACGCCATAGGCTCTGTCCTAAGGTTTGCCCTGCGTCAGAAGCATGGGGGGAAGGGAAGAGGGAGAGAGGGGGAGAAGGAAGATGGGGGAGGGCAGGGCTGAACCTAAACTGTGTTTTTCGTTTTCGTGTTGTTTCCGTTTTCCCTTGTTTTGTCTTCAATCCGCCTTTAACGCAAAACGACATCGAAACGAAAACGGCCCACGGAATCGCCAACAAAAACGTTTGGTTCCACCCCTGGGATGGGAGAGGGATGATGGGGGACGGGGGAAGATGGGCTGGGAGAAGGAAGATTGATGGGCCTGTTTTCCACCACCACTACCAAAAGTTGGAAGGGGGAAGGAGGTGGAGGACGAGGAGGAGGACGAAGAGGAGAAGGAGGAGGAGGAGGAGGAGGAGGAGGAGGAGGAGGACCCCCTCCCCCTCCAACTTCTGGTGGTGGTGGTGGTGAAAAGCACGCCAATCAAAGATTGGGGGGGGACGGGGGCGCCCTGGCGTGGGCTCCACCGCGGGAGGTGGTCGCTCGCGAGGGCGCGACGAGGAAGGCCTCTTGCCCTGGGGTGGTCTTCTGCGGTGCCCCTCTGAGCCGCGCCTTCGCCCATTGCACCATGGGGCTCGATTAGAGCTCGTGCCTTGGCCAGCCGTGCGTGTATACAGGGTGGATTGAAGAGGACACGCGAGAGGACATAACACTCTTCCGAGGGCCACATTGCCATATGAATGTAGAAGCATGGGTCGCGAGGCACAAGGCACAAGAGTACCCTTGATTTGGCAAGGTCGACCTACTAATCCGGCTCGACTGTACGGCCCACAGCGGGGGGGGACGGCAGAATAGCACCACTCCCTCGGGCACTGCCGATGCAGTGGCTCGAGCTGCTTGGAAGGCGAGCCCTCTCATCATTCGGTGGAGGGAAGGAATCGAAGGGAAACGCGGAAGCAGCAGCGGGGAGAGGAGACAGGAATAACGAGGGAAACAGAGAAAGAGAGAGAGAGAGAGGGAGCGAGAGAGGGAGCGAGAGAGGGAGCGAGAGAGACACAAAGAGAGAGAGAGAGAGAGAGAACACAAAAAGAGAGAGAGAGAGAGAGAGAGAGAGAGAGACAAAGAACGAGAAAGATCCGCCACCGTGCCTCTGGCACGAAGTGGAGCACCCCAAGGCTCATGCAGCACTGAGAGGTAACGAAATTGTAAGGATCTTAAGCGCCCGGCCTCCCGGTTTCCTGGGCGCTTTCGGAGTGTTCCGCATTGGGCCTCCGTGCCGGTTCCCTCGCTTAGGAGGGCTCCACAACGGGCCAAGAAAGCCCCGGGAGGCCGCCCCAACGATCCAGGAGGGCACAGAATCCGCGACAAATCTCTCCAAGACGCCCAAGATGGCTTCCAGACGGCCAAAGAAGTCTCCAGACACCCCAAGAGGCACAAATCATTGATTTTCTTATCTTTGACTGATTTGGGCGTTCTCGCCTTTTCGGATTCCCGACGCTCCAAGACAGCCCAGGAAACCTTCAATATGGCCCCAAGACAGCCGAAGAGGCCTCCAGGAGGGCTCCGAAGTGGGCCGAGGGGGCCCCAAGACGGCCCAAGAGGCCTCTAAGACAGCCAAACAGGCCCCCAAGACGGCTCCGAGAGTGGGCCCAGACGGGGGACCCGAACTGACATTTCGAGCCCTCGGCCCCAAGAGGCCCCAGGACAGCCGAAAAAGAGGCCCCAAGAAGTCCCCAAGAGGCCCAAAGCTGCCCCCAAGAGGCCCCCAGGAGCCCCTAAAGGCCTTCCAAAGGCTCCCAAGAGGCCCCCAAGAGGCTCCAAGCAGGCAGGTAGAACGACACACACACACACACACACACACACACACACACACACCCACGCACGCACGCACGCACGCACGCACGCACGCACGCGCGCACGCACGCACGCAAGCACGCACGCGCGCACGCGCGCACGCACGCCCGCACGCGCGCGCGCGCACGCACGCACGCACGCACGCACGCATGCACGCACGCACGCACGCACGCACGCACGCACGCACGCACGCACGCACGCACAACACACACACACACACACACACACACACACACGCACACACGCACACACGCACACACCACACACCGCACACACGCACAGACGCACACACGCACACACGCACACACGCACGCACAGCATGCACACACGCACACACGGCACAGACGCACAGACGCACACGCACACGACGCACACACACGCATCGCACACACGCACACACGCACGCACCACGCACGCACACGCACGCACGCACACGCGCACACACGCACACACGCACGCACACACGCACACACGCACACACGCACACACGCACACACGCACACACGCACACACGCACACACGCACGCACGCACACACGCACACACGCACACACGCACACACGCACACACGCACACACGCACACGCGCACACGCGCACACGCACACGCACGCACGCACGCACGCACGCTCGCACGCACGCACTCACACTCACACTCACACTCACACTCACACTCACCTTCACACGCACAGCACACAGGTGTATATATATATACACATAGATACAGGCATATAAGCATATACATGTGTATGTATGCATATATATATATATATATATATAGATGTATGTCTGTGTGTAGGCATACAGGCGTATACATACACATCTACAAAGAGCGAGGGAACCCTAAAAAATACATAAGTCAAGCAAAAGAGACAAAAATACAAATAGATCGAGAGAGAGAGAGAGAGAACGACAGGAAGAGGAGAAACAAACAAAACACATATCGCCTTCTTTCGCGCGTCTCTGCGCCGGCGCTCTGCGGAGTAGCTGCCGATGCGCTAAGCCCCTGTGGCTGGAGCAGGCACGGCAACGGGGGACGAAGCGAGGACGACCCCTGGCGCGGGGGGCCGGAGCGCCCGACGGACGGAGGGGAGTCGAGACCCCGAACGGCGCGGGAGCACGCTCGGGGGATGCTGCAGGCATGGCGACCAGGAGCCGGCCTTGGCAGGTCGCCTCTCTGGACGTGGCGGACCCCCCCCACACGGCACCCCATGCGGAGGGTGGTCAG